GTCCAAAAAAACACAACAAGCTTTTTTCATTTTAAATGATTAAGCTTTCTCATTTTGAATGATTAAGTAGCTGCATTATTTTTTTGAATGAAAAAACCATTATCATATTTTGAATGATTAAGATTCTGAATTTAAAAAAAAATCATTGAATTTTTACTAGTCAGTTAATGTAAATTTTTTGGGTTAAAAGAATGTAAATAACCAATTTTTAAAAGTGAAATGGTTTATTTATTAAAAAAATGTTCAAGAACTTAATCAATTAAAATAAAAAAGTTTAATGATTTTTTTATTAAAAAAAATCAAATTTATTTGACATGGGAAAAGTTAGATGTATCAAATTTGGAGAATAAAAAATACATGTCAGTGAGTTGTGTGTTTTAACTGAATTTCACTGATTCAATGGATTTTTTTTCTAAATTTTTTGGTTGATTTTCAAAGATTTTTTAATTATTTTTTTGTTGATTTCAATAGATTTTTTCGGTTTTTTTTGTTGATGCCTGATGTATTTTCTAATATTCCGGAGCACCCCTCAAATTTTAGCGTGTGCATCTTTCATATTCAAACAAAATTATACTTGCGAAAATCGGTTGAGTAAATTCACAGAATCTCCAACTAGGTGCCGTTTACCAAACGCTTACCCATGTAAGCACTTACCAAATCACTTTACTTTACCGGATGAATATGACAAGGACTAAAAATCTTACCCAGCAAGAACGAAGATAAAAATCGAGAGTCTTATCCGGTAAGTGAGGACGAAGACTCTTACCATGGTTAGCGCTTACCGGGATAAATTGTTGCATGCATTGCGTTTTAGTGAATAAAATTTTACCCAGTAAGTAAGCGATGGTGTTGAATTTTACCGTTAAGTATTTATGTGTAAGTGTTTATGTAAATGGCCCCTTAGTCAAAATATTTGTTTTTTTTTTAAACCGAGTTTCTTTTTTTTTTTTTTATAGATTTTGTTTTTAGAAAAATTGGATCAATGGAGATATGCAAGCAAACGAATAAAGGTTTTTTTCGTTGAAAATATAAGCAACTAACCAACTAACTCTATCATATTTTTGTTAAATTTTTTTTATATATTTTTGTTTTATAATTAATTAGCTGGTGCCACGTTATGAGAAAATATCAGGGTCCGTCTCTGATACAAATCACTGATACAAGACAAAACATAGCCTCATGCTCATACGATCGATACCAATCAATTGTCGGTTATTTCTGGGACTAGAAAAGTATTGAATGGGGTCGACAAATAGCATATCATGGTCGGGCATGAATCTTTTTGTATCGGATAAATAACAAACTCATTCTTTATATAATTTTTAAAACTCGGTTAAAAATTTTATCCTACTTTAAACGGATCAAATTAAACAGACTAGAGTAGAGTTTTCTAGACTAGACGAGACCGACCCAGGACCAGGCAGGCAACATCGTTGGTTCGGGTTCGGTTTTCACCTTGTCATATTCATACTTATGTGACTATCTTTCAGCGTTTTATTTTTTATTTTTCAATGATATTTTTGTTGTATCTGATATAATTGACACCCCGTGTATTTTTCAAAATTCGGAAGATGATCTGTAAAATGTTATCTTTTATAATTTATCTGAAATTGAAAATAAGAGGTTAATATTTTCAAAAAATTACACTCAAGTCTAATACTGTTTCTATTTTGGATATTTCAGTATTAAATTATTAAAACACTATAAAAATTAATCATATCAATAAACTTTTAATTTTTTTGGTATATATCCCCCATTGTTCATATTGGAACTATATCGAAAGTTATTACTATTTTAAAATCATAGCAGACCCCCATCGTTTATTTGTTTTTGAGTATTTGTCCCTGTCGGTGAACCTGACCCCCCCCCACCCCCCCTCTCTCTCTCCTTCCCGAATACACCACCGAACCACCCATATTCTTCCTCTCCAACGACTTCATCACCCCATATACTATAAACTTACACGGATAAAAATCCCCCTCGTGTTTTTGGAGTTAGATGTATTGAGGATGAAAAACGAGAATTGAGTAAAAATCCCCTTACGGTCACCCGCTCTCTCCCTTCGTATCGTGAAGCTTTCAAATCCTTAGTTGCAATCACCTTGTCAAGGCCTAATTGTAGGGAGGAACCTTTTGTAACACCCTCAAAGCCCAAAACAATAGACTAACCTAGTAACTTTGAATCAAACTTAAAATCATGGTGGAAGTTATTGGTAGCCACTACTTAGAACTTATAAGGAGCTAACAATTCTCACTTTTTATCCATGTGGGACGAATTGTTACAAACGCCCTCACTTAAATTCATGACGTATTCGTTAGGCCTATCCAGGATCTTCCTTTTTGTCATCGACAATGTGGGAATCGGCTCTGATACCATCTGTAACACCCCCAAAGCCCAAAGCAATGGACTGACCAAATAACTTCGAGTCCAACTTAAAATCATGGTGCAAATTATTGGTAACCCATTACTTGAGACTTATAAAGAACTAACAATTCTCCCTTTATATCCACGTGGGACGAGTTGTTACACATTCATATGGAAAGAAGTCCGTAAAAGGGTTTTCTTTTCTTAAAACAGATAATTTCATGAGAAGATAGAAGAAGCATGTAAGAACAAGAAAGAATATATGAAACATGGGGGAACATTCGCCAGAGAAGAAGTTCGGAAAAAAATGGCGGCAGACAAGGATAGGCGATAGGGAGACATCGTCTTGAGTTTGATGGATATATCTGTAATTTCATTAATTAGTTGATTTGTTTATATTATTTGACAGGAAAGGTTGTGGGTTCAACCACAAGGGTGGTGCGGTTTGGTACGGCTTAAGGTTTTAATGGTGCAGTTTTGGAAAAATGCTTAAACTGCATATGTGGTGCGATTTGACCTCAAACTGTGCCACAAACACCTTTAGGCAAAAACACATCTATCTGTACTGTATTATAAAACATTTGACAAAAACTCTTAAAAACTACTATTTATGCGTAAAATATTGTTTAATAATGTATATTACTTAAAACTCAAAATTGCAAGTAGATTGTGCGTAAGTACAACTTATTGAAGCTCCATATCTGAATTCGTGTAACTAACTGCTGATAAATATAATCAAATACAAGATAAACATCTTATTTTAAATATAAAAAATCTAAAATATAATTAGGATAATCATTGAGTTCTAACAGAATCAATATCTTTATAAAATTTCATTGCTAAGCCAAAAAATAAATTACTTCATTCAATCGAAAAAACATAATTTTTCTCAAAACCACATAAATTGTATTTATATCAACAGATACTAAAATATAAAAACGACACACTAAAATAAAAAAATATATATAATTGTATTGTACGAGTACCCTTCTAGTTATACTCTATCGTGTATAAAATTTCCGTAAAGTCACCCTGAAAATCACCATTTATTTTCCACTTATTTTGTTTTTAAAAATTTATTTATCCTACTTAAAAAATTGTACACAGTTTTTGGACGGCTTCCCGCAAAAAATTTGAAAGAAGTTGGAAAAAAAGGAGTTCCGTTAGGCGTAAACGACTGATGCTCCTACAGAAATGTTGATACTGAATCTGCGAATATAATGAAGTTTCGTAGATCTTCAGCTTCAGATCAGAATTTACAGGGATGAAGAAGTATTTGGCGCAGGGGCACCGCGGATTATATCGAGGTAAGTTGAATCTAGGCTTTTGAAATCTCATTATTTGAAGAATGATTATCTTTATCATCAAACACGATTAGGTATTACATAAATGTGATTATCGAGTGTATGTATGTGTGTATATCATGGGGAAATGACGCTATCTGAAATCTAGTGTTTTGGATGAGAAAGGGGACCAAGCAATTTTCTAAAACCCGAACTTAAGAGGTGAAATTGATCATCGCATTCATTATTGTAGTGGCTTCATCTTCGGTCGAATGTTCTGTTATAGAAACCGAGAGAAATCTAGAATTCGGAAAAACCACTTGAATTTGGAGTGTATTATTGGTGAGTGCTATGTGACCAAGTTAAAGGGTAGGCTGTGATTGTTCTTTACTAATTTTGTGTAGTGTATTGGACCTGCTACGGAATTTATATGGCTGAATCATTCCTTATCGTTTTCAGTACATTGAAATTTTTGTGCAACTTGTTCATATGTTGCTTTGAAGTTTGAATACGACTGTTTGACACTAGGAAGATGGAACAATTCTGAAATGGGATTAGTTTTTGGAAGTTAGTTGCTAAACACAACATTGTGAAATAGGATGATGCTTCATATTGGAGCCATGTAGGAAACAGCTTTTTGGTAATACGGATGGACAAAAGGCAACTTTCTCTGATCAAAGAACCTTTGTAACTCCATCGTGTGAGGAAACATGAGGCAAACTCACTGAATGGTCCAAACATGGGTATTCAGTTTATTAGGAAATATTGGTACCAAAAACATATGCAATGTGATCAGGGAATTGGCCAAATCACAATGCTAAATGTTTGTAAGGGATTATACTATTATATGGCGCCAAGAACCAATCAAGCCTCTACCTGTCCTTTCATCAAGCCATGTCTACACGGAAGTCTATACACCTATTTATCAATGAATATTATTCTGATTAATGTTCGAAAAGAATTTGGTTATATGACTGCTGATGACATGGAAATTTGAAATTGTTAGATCAAATAAAGATCAACAAATATCAGACTAAAAAGCTCATCGGGTCTTATTTGTGGTAGTGGATAGGTCTGCCTAGTGCATAAATCCCACCCTCCACTCCACCTCCGGGCGGGATATACCAGGCTCGTTGGGTTTAGTTTTAGGCTATAAAGCTTCTTCTCCCCTAAGTTTCACTTGTTTAGCTTTCCTGAAAGTCATCTTAAGGATAACATTTAACATCAGTTTGATTACCTGCTCTAGTTCGAGAAACGATCTAGGAGGTGCAGTGTGAAGAACATCCACCCAAAAGCTGACATATTATGTCACATATACACCATAAAAGTTAATGGTTGATTTGCCCATTCAGGTCAATGAAAATTCTTCCCAACGGATTGTATTGTCTTTCAGATGGAAAGAAAAGAAGAAATAAACAATTGAAATATTGAAAACATTAATGCAAACAAGTTCTGCACACACTCTCTTCTTTTGGTGTTTTCTTTTGTCTAATGCGTTAGAACTTTGCCTTGAGCTGGTCCACCAGTTTTTTATCCACTTGGAATGTCTTGGCTAGGATATCACTCGAAATGGGCGGGTTTGATCCGAAAACAGCATTTCCGATTATTATCGCACCAGGGTTTTGACTGCTTAATGCACCAATAACCACCGCATATTTGTTCCCAATGTTACGTTGGAAGTGAAGAAGTCCTACTGGGAAGACAAACACGTCCCCCTTGTTTAGTACCTTACTGATGAGACGGTTATCTGGATTAGAGGTGACGAATCCAACCTGAAGGGATCCTTCTATAACAGTGATGATCTCAGTGGCTCGTGGATGAGTGTGAGGAGGGTTGATTCCCCAAGGTGCAAAGTCAATGCGTACCATTGAGATGCCTAAAGTGTTGAGCCCTGTTAACTGAGCTACAGTCACCGGTGTCACACTTGATCCCAAAGGGTTTGATGTGTTACCCATTAGGTGGAGGCCACTAAAGTAGAAATCATTGGCTTGAACTTGCATAGGATTCTTGCAGGTCATGCCATTTACATTAACTGCAAAGAAACATTTGTTAGATAACAAAGCGCAACAAAACCTGTGAATCTTTTCAAAGAAATCTTGAAGAAACATGCAATATATATATACATACACACACACACGCACCTGAGCTATTTGGATCGGCTATGCAGAAATCTTGCAGGGGCTTGGGTTCATGGGCAAAGGCCAAATAGCATAAAGCAAGAGCTACCAAAGTGAAGTGGGATATTTGTTTTGCCATTTTCAAGTCAGAACTCAGAAACTCTTAACTATTATGAACTAAGCAATAAAAGCAAAAGGGCATGCAATAGGAACTGGTTGAGTGTGTAAAGAATTGGTTTTCAGATCTATATATAGGCGAATGTAAGGTGTCAAAGTCATGTGATGGACGTTGATTAAAATATTCTGATTTATAAAACTGCTGTCCTGGCATATAGAGTAGATTGGTTGTGGACCTTATTAAAGAAGAGGACATGAGAATTTTGTGATAAATGTTAGCATTTGCACGTATGCGTAAAAAGGAGTCGAAGCTACCAGTTATTGGATTGTAGCAGGATGCCTATCTTAAGCAGCACTCTAGTAGGAATTTGTCAAGCATGCCTCCATGGCTCCACCCACACATGATCATATGTGCCAAATGATGATAACTCCCTTTAAGGACCAAAACTATGATTGTTTCTACTTTACTAGACAATGCATTATTCTTAGAAATGGCATCTTGTCCACCCGTTCCTGAATTTTTGACTTGGCCATTGAAGCTCAAAGCTATTGATGTCCTCAATTCAGGACCCTTGCAGCACTTTTATCTTTTATATTAATGTCGCTTCTGGCTTACTGTATATCGTTCTTTAGACACATGTCATAATCATTAATATGCTGGTTTGGTTCAGATAACATACCCCAGAAAATCTCACATATATTGAGTTGACTAGGTTACATTGTGGAGAAGGTATTTGGTATATCCAACTCGAAAGTCGGGTTTGATAGGGGTATGGTGTACGATAAGAGTTCTTGGGGACGTAGACTAGGGGTGGGGTATTTTTAGCTCACCTAAACGGGAGGAAGGATTCTGGATTAGTGGGTCAGCAGTTAGACCCCTGAATGATTTAAAAATTTAGCATGCCCTTTCTTGTTTTCAAGTTCTTTTTTTCTGCAATTTTTTCCCGGAGTCTTTAGGACCCTACCTTCGGGCGAATATAGTTTGGTTTGGCTTTTATGGGTTTGTTAATTATATCTTGTCCATGATTTGGTCTCATTTCTGCCTTTGCACGTCTTGTCTTTGCTCTCAATGGTGCCCGTAAAGGTTTGATTGCTGTCATACGAAATCTTACAAAGCTATACCACAAATCGGGCAAATTCTACTTCGCTTGTGTTCTAAATACAATTAGGGATCATAAACTTCGTAATCGTTCTAAACATTCTGATAATGATTATGAAATGGCTGGATTAATATCCGACTCCCAGGAATCAAATTCTTCAAACCAATCAAGAAAAGACAAACACACAAACACAACTTGGCCCTAAGTTTCACACATGTTTTAGAACTTCCTTCTCAATCGATTCACCGTTTTGTTATCAACTCGAAAAGCTTGTGCTAGAATCTCGGTAGCAATTGGCGGATTGGAACCAAAGATAGTGTTTGTGATGCTAATGACTCCTGGGTTTTGACTGCTCAGCGCAGCGATTGCAGTTGCATTGCTATGACCTAAATTCCTTTGGAAATGAACAAGTCCAACGGGGAAAACGAACACATCACCGCGTTGAAGGACTTTGGTAATGAGTCGGTTTTGAGGGTCTGAAGTAATGAATCCAACTTGAAGCGTTCCTTCTAAAACCGTAAGTATCTCGGTTGCTCGAGGGTGAGTGTGTGGTGGGTTAGCTCCCCATATCGCGTAGTCAATCCGGATCATCGAGAGCCCGAGCGTGTTGAGTCCTGGAATCTGATATACGGTTACAGGCGTAACTCTATACCCATAAGAATTTCTTGTGTCGCCATTGATGTGGAGGCCGCTATAGTAGAAGTCGTCGGCTTGGACGAACATTGGGTTCTTACAAGCCATGCCGTTCACTCTAACTGCAACTAAACAAAGAAAAATCGAAATTATTGTAAGATAAAAAAACAAGATGATGCTCTGATATTTTCCCTAGAAAATTGAAGAGCATGACCTAGATTTGTAGGATCTGCTACACAGAAATCTTGCATGGGCGCAGGCTCAAATGAAAAGACACCCAGAATGGAGAGGCTGAATGCTGCTAACAAGATGAAGAAGATAAAAGTTGCTGCCATGGATCCGCAGTCTTTATTAGGCTAAAATATGAAGAACAGTGATAAGAGTTGGACAGAAAAGAGGTAGCTTTGTGAGATGAACATGGTAGTTGGACTATATATATAGAGTAAGATAGAAGAAAGATCATGCGAAAGCTCTTGAATCTTGGTGGTTAAGCAGTGTTTTAATTTATCTTGGACTTGATTATCTTATTGAAATCTTGAAAAAATTCAAGAATTGTGTATAGTTCATTTGAGATTCATGATACATAAACCCGCATCTGCCCAGGCTGCTATATGGTGGTATCAGTATATTAATTGTTGGAGTCTCACATTGAGTACTGTCCATCGAATATTATACATTTTATAATCTTTCTTCTCTCTGTTTTAGCTCTTTTAACAAGAGTTCAAATACGTTTTATATATCCTCAGCAGAGCTCTGAAATAGGCACCTAAAGAGTCCGACGACTGGAGAAAATAATATCAGCTTTGAGCTCGGATATTATTGCGATGTTCGAGATCAATGCTTGTTTAAAGTTTTAAGTTGCATTCTGACTTCAAATTTAAGTTTTATAAGTTGGGCTAGAACCAGAGATCGATTAACTTATTTACAAAATTCAAGCTTTATAAGTTTGTTTATATTTTGATTGCAAGATTTAAGAACATATGATATGCTTGTATGGCTCGGCTTGGCTCAGAAAATATAATTGAACTTTGGAACAAGCCGAGTCGAACATTGGTATTACGTCGCTAGATCAAGTACGCTTTATTTTGTGTCCAGATCAACTTGAACTCCACTCACTAACCTTTAGAACAATCCAATGAATAAAACCAATCAAACTACATATTCTTCTCTGCGAAAGGGAAATCTAACTTCAAAAGGAAGTGCACACAAATAATTTAGAATGAAAGCAACCAAACAATCACACGAAAGCTAATTATAAACTTTATGCCATTGGAATTTTTGCAACTCTAGAACTTTGCTTGTAGCTGATCCACCACACTCATATCGACTTGGAATGCCTTGGCTAAAATATCACTTGGAATAGGAGGATTTGCACCAAAAACCGAATTGGCCATCGTTATGGCACCTGGATTTTGACTGCTCAATGCAGCAATAACAACTGCATATCCATTACCAATGTTGCGTTGGAAATGAACTAGTCCAACTGGGAACACGAAAACATCACCCTTTTGCAGTACCTTTGTGATGAAACGATTTTCGGGATTAGAAGTGACAAATCCGACTTGTAGGGAGCCCTCAAGAACTGTAAGGATCTCGGTGGCACGTGGGTGCGTGTGAGGAGGATTGAGTCCCCATGGTGCGTAGTCAATCCGAACCATTGAGATGCCCAAAGTGTTTAGCCCTGGCAATTGAGTTGCAAACACTGGGGTCACCCTTGATCCCTGAGGGTTCGATGT